GGGGGGCTTCACACGGGGGTCTGTCCGTGTGTGGGGTCCGTGTGTGTCCGTGTCATGTTCATCCGTGCCCATGTGTTGTGTCCATCCATGTCCGTGTGTAGGGTCCATCCATGTCCATATCTGGGGTCTGTGTATGTGCGTGTACTGTCCATCTGTGTCCATATACGGGGTTCATGCCTGTCATGTGTGGGGTCCGTGTGTGTCCATATGGGGTGTCCATCCATGTCCATATGGGGGAGTCCATCCATGTCCATCCATGGTCTATCTGTGTCCATGGGGTGTCCATCCGAGTTCATGTATGGGGGATCCATCCATGTCCGTGTGTGGTGTCCATACAGGGCCCATCCATGTCCATGTAGTGTCCATCTGTGTTCATGCGTGGTGTCCATCTGTGTCCGTGTAGTGTCCATCCATGTCTGTGCAGTGTCCATCCGTGTCCGTGCTGGGTGGGAATTCACGGTGGGTTCATATGCGGGGCCAAATGTGAGTGTGAGTGTGAGTGTGTGAGTGTGTGAGTGTGAGTGTGAGCCCCGTGCACGCGTGTGTGAGCCCTACACACGCGTGTTCATCCCATGTGCGTGCGAGCTCTGTGTGTCTCCTGTGTCAGCTCTGTGCACACATGTGTGTGCTTCCCGTGTGTTCACGCGTGTGCGTCCTGCATGTGCGCCACATGTTTGCACACGCTCTCGCACACGCGTGTGAGCTCCGTCCATGGGTGTCAGCATTTCCCGTGTGGTTTTCGTGCATTTTTCCGTGTGTTTGTGTGTGGTTTTTATCAATTTTCCGGGGATTTTGTGCATTTTCTTTATTTTTAATCCATTTCCCGTGCGTTCAAGTGTAGATTTTGTGCATTTTCCCCTGTTTTTTGTGCATTTTTTTTATTTTTAATACACTTCCTGCAGGTTTTTTACACATTTCCCGTGCTTTTGTGCATTTTCTGTATTTTTTACCCATTTCCCGCACGTTTTTTTTACACATTTCCCGTGTGTTTTTTGTGCATTTTCTCTATTGTTTGTTCATTTTCTGTATTTTTAATACATTTCCCTCCCGCTCCCGTGCGTTTTTTACCCATTTCCCGCACGTTTTTTTACACATTCCCGTGTTATTTTTATGCATTTTCTCCATTTTTAACACATTTCGCGGCCGTTCGCGTGCGGTTTTTACCCATTTTTTTACACGTTTCCTTCATTTTCCGCGCATTTCCTGCGGGTTTTTTCCCCTTTTCCCGCCCCCGCCGCCCCCCCGCGCTGTCCCCGCGCTGTCCCCGCGCTGTCGCCGCCGTCCCTTGGGGACAATCCATCGCGACAGCCGCAAAGGTCTCGGCTCGCGCCTCGGTGGCCGCGATCCATCAGCGCTGTCGGGATTTACGGGCGCGATCGATGCGCGAGCCGGCGCGGCGACACCGGGAGGGGACAGGCGACACCGGGACAGGGGGGGTGACACACTCCGGACCCCCCCCGACACCCCCCAGCCTCATCTTAATTAGCGCGGAGGGGAAAGAGAAATCCCGGCGCTAATTAGCGGGGTGGGGATGGGGCGGGGGCGCGGGGTTGGGGACACCGGGGGACACAGGAACACCGGGACACCGGGNCACGGGGGTCTGTCCGTGTCTGTGTGTGGGCTCTGTGTGTGTCCGTGTGTGGGGTCCATCCATGTCCATGTGTGGGGTCCGTGTGTGCCCATGTCATGTCCATCCGTGCCCGTGTGTCGTGTCCATCCATGTCCATATCTGGGGTCTGTGTGTGTGTGTGTGGTGTCCATCTGTGTCCATATATGGGGTTCATGCGTGTCCGTGTGTGGGGTCCATCCATGTCCATGTAGAGTCCATTCGTGTCCGTGTGTGGGGTCCGTGTGTGTCCATGTCGTGTCCATCCGTGCTGGTGTGTCGTGTCCATCCATGTCCATATCTGGGGTCTGTGTATGTGCGTGTAGTGTCCATCTATGTCCATATATGGGGTTCATGCGTGTCCGTGTGTGGGGTTCTTCCATGTCCGTATGATGTCCAACTGTGTCCGTGTGGGGTCTGTGTGTGTTCATGTGAGGTCCACTCATGTCCATACAGGGTCCATCTGTGTCCATGTATGGGTTCCGTATGTTCATGTAGGGTCCATCCGTGTCCGTGTGTGGTGTCCATCCATGTCCATGTCATGTCCATCTGTGTCCACGTGTGGTGTCCACCCGTGTCCGTGTGTGGTGTCCACTCGTGTCCATACAGGGTCCATCCGTGTCCGTGTGAGTTCATGTGTGAGGTGTTCACCCGTGTCCATGTGGTGCCCACCCATGTCCCTACAGTGTCCATCCGTGTCCATACAGTGTCCACCCATGTCCCTACAGTGTCCATCCGTGTCCATACAGTGTCCATCCATGTCCCTACAGTGTCCATCCATATCCATATGTGGTGTCCATCCATGTCTGTGTAGTGCCCATCCATGTCCATATAGTGTCCACTCCTGTTCGTGTGTGGTGTCAATTCGTGTCCATACAGTGTCCATCCATGTCCATGTGTGGTGTCCATCCATGTCCATGTGTAGCGTGTCCATCCATGTCCATGTGGTGTCCATCCATGTCCGTGTAGTGCCCATCCATGTCCATATGTGGTGTCCATCCATGTCCATATGTGGTGTCCATCCATGTCCATGTGTTGTGTCCACCCGTCTGCATGAGGGGCCGGGGGCGTTCACAGAGTGGGAATTCACGGTGGCTTCGTGTGCGAGGCCGAGTGTGAGCCCTGTGCACACGTGTGTGTGCATACGTGTGCATTCCATGTGTGTGCGTGTTCTGTGCATGACCTCTGTTCACGCGTGTGCGTCCTGCGTGTGTGCTGCGTGTTTTCACATGCTCTCGCACACGCGTGTGAGCTCCGTCCATGGGTGTCAGCATTTCCCGTGTGGTTTTCGTGCATTTTTCCGTGTGTTTTGTGCACGCGTGTGCACGCATGTTCCTAGTGTGTACATTTTTGGTGTGTTTTGTGCATTTCCTGTGCA